GACCTCTTTTTCTTACTTATAGGCTATCTTTTTTACTACTGCCTATTAGCACTATATATTTACTTATATAGCCTTTATAACTTACTTATTATATACCTCCTTTATATTTATAATAGTAACACTAGTTATAAAGAAGTATTATAGTTTAATAGCTTATTAGCACTAGCTCTTTTATTACTATATTACTAGTCTAGTATTTTAGTCCTTAATATATTACTACTAGTATTTATAGGTAAAAGATCCTTTATAAATTACTTACTTTACTACTTTAAATCCTCTTTTTAAAGGACTACTTTATATACTACTATATTTCTTCTTTATATAGTTAGTAGTAAAAATAGCCTTATTAAAGTAGTTATTATATAGTAAAAAATATATAAGGTGTAATAGTATATCTTTATTACTCTATTATATCCTCTTTACTAGCTAGGCTAGTATAATATTATTATATATAGGCTATATATCTACCTTCTTAAAGCCTTTTATAATATAGGTAGCTATAAAGGCCTCTTTAAGTATAGTATTTAGGGTAGTAATAAAGTTACCCTTTGTAAATATAAGGTTACCTTCCTATATATAGTTATAAAGTACTTATTAATAGGCCTTCTTAAAGTATTAAAAGACTTCTATATTTATTAGCTAAAGGAAGTATATTATATAAAGTAAAAAAAAAGTAATAATAATATTAAACTTAATATAATATTTTATAAGCTTTAGACTTATATAGCCTATAAATTTATTAAAAAAGAAAAAGTAATATAGCTATTTTAACTTTTCTATAGTATCTTAATAGTTATAATACTTTATTTTTTATTTACTTAGTTAACTATTAGATAGATATAAATTATAAGTATTATAACTATATATATTAATACTAAAATAGTCCTTAAAAAAGTAGCTTATCTAGTAATACTTTACTAATCTTATATATAACTCTATATTAAAGTACTATATATAATCTATTATAACCTCTTAGTTAAAAAAGCTAGTAAGTAAATATATAAAGTAAACACCTTCTTAGACCTAATAATTTACTTAAGTAATAACTAGCTATATTTTAAAGATTATATATACTAGAATAATATTACTAGTTATATTACTATACCTAACTAATATATATAACTCTTAATTAGCTAGATTTATAACTTTAGGTAAGTAGTTATATTTTAGTAGCTACTTAAGGATAATTATATAAAGCTAGCTACTAAAGTAACTAATCTAGTAGCTAGATTTATTAGTGTTCTATATCTTAGATAGGCTAATATTATAGCTATAGAGGGTAGCCTAATACTAGGTAAAAAAGTCCTTTACTAAAGCTAGGTCTAACTTAGCCTCCTTTTAGTATAACTTAACTAGCTTAATAATACTTTTCTTCTAGAGCTCTAGATAGTTAGTAAGCTAGCTTTAAATAAAGTACTTAAAGATAAGTAGCTAGCCTTAGATACTATAAAGGTAGTTAGCTATTTCTTTAACTTATAATAGTAAGGCTAAAAAGCTAGACTTATAAAGCTATATAATAAATATACTAAAAGCTATATCTTTAGCCTTTATAAGTAACTAAGGCTAGCTACTTTTATTTAGGCTAGTGTAAAGGTTATAGTTAGCCTAAAAAGCCTAAAGATACTAGTAAATAAAAGTATTAGATATATTATACTACTAGGTAAGTTAGTAAATAAAAAGTATAGTAAATAGCTTTTTATTAAGCTAGTTAAATTAGTTAGCCTATTACTAAGTAGTAAATATTACTTTAGTAGCTTTTTTAGTAGTAGTTATATTTTTATTATATTAGTAAAGTATATTAAAAGGTTAAAGTAAAATAAGTAGTTTAGTTACTATTAATATTTATAAATAATATATTTAAATAATTACTTATTTTTAGTAAAAATATAATAAAAAGTAAGATAAGGTAAAGACTAAGTATAATCTCTCTTTTTTTACTATAACCTCTCTTTTTTTACTCTCTTTATAAAGAGAAAGTGTTTAGCTTTAATAAAGGCTAACTAATACCCCTAAGTACTTTACTAAAAACAAGTTACCTAAGGGTATTAGTTAGCCTTTATTAAAGCTAAATACTTTCTTTTTATAAAAGAGGTAAAAAAAGGAAGATTATAGTAAAAAAAAGAAGATTATACTTAGTCTTTACTTTATTTTACTTTTTATTATATTTTTACTAAAAATAAGTAATTATTTAAATATATTATTAATAAATATTAATAATAACTAAACTATTTACCTTACTTTAACCTTTTAATATACTTTACTAATATAATAAAAATATAACTACTACTAAAAAGGCTACTAAAGTAATATTTACTACTTAGTAATAGGCTAACTAATTTAACTAGCCTAGTAAAAAGCTATTTACTATACTCTTTATTTACTAACTTACCTAGTAGTATAATATATTTAATACTTCTATTTACTAGTATCTTTAGGCTTTTTAGGCTAACTATAACCTTTATATTAGCCTAGATAAAAGTAGCTAGCCTTAGTTACTTATAAAGGCTAAAGATATAGCTCTTAGTATATTTATTATATAGCTTTATAAGTCTAGCTTTTTAGCCTTACTATTATAAGTTAAAGAAATAGCTAACTACCTCTATAGTATCTAAGGCTAGCTACCTATCTCTAAGCACTTTATTTAGAGCTAGCTTACTAACTATCTAGAGCTCTAGAAGAAGAGTACTATTAAGCTAGTTAAGTTATACTAAAAGGGGGCTAAGTTAGACCTAGCTTTAGTAGAGGACTTCTTTACCTAGTACTAGGCTACCCTTTATAACTATAATATTAGCTTATCTAAGATATAGAACACTAATAAATCTAGCTACTAGATTAGTTACTTTAGTAGCTAGCTTTATATAATTATCCTTAAGTAACTACTAAAATATAACTACTTACCTAAAGTTATAGATCTAGCTAATTAAAAGTTATATATATTAGTTAGGTATAGTAATATAACTAGTAATATTATCTTAGTATATATAATCTTTAAAATATAGCTAATTACTACTTAGGTAAATTATTAGGTCTAAGAAGGTATTTACTTTATATATTTACTAACTAGCTTTTTTAACTAAAAAGTTATAATAAATTATATATAGTACTTTAATATAGAGTTATATATAAGGTTAATAAAGTATTACTAGATAGGCTACTCTTTTAAGGACTATTTTAGTGTTAATATATATAGTTATAATACCTATAATTTATATTTATTTAATAGTTAACTAAGTAAATAAAGGGTAAAGTATTATAACTATTAAGATACTATAGAAAAGTTAAAGGAGCTATATTACTTTCTCCTTTTTAATAAATTTATAGGCTATATAAGTCTAAAGCTTATAGAATATTATATTAACTTTAATATTATTATTGCCTTTTTTTTACCTTATATAATATACTTCCTTTAGCTAATAAATATAGAAGTCTTTTAATACTTTAAGAAAGCTTATTAATAAGTGCTTTATAACTATATATAGGAAGGTAACCTTATATTTACAAAGGGTAACTTTATTACTGCCCTAAATACTATAGTTAAAGAGGCCTTTATAGCTACCTATATTATAAAAGGCTTTAAGAAGGCAAGTATATAGCCTATATATAATAATATTATACTAGCCTAGCTAGTAAAGAGGATATAATAAAGTAATAAAGATATACTATTACACCTTATATATTTTTTACTATATAATAACTACTTTAATAAGACTATCCTTACTATTAACTATATAGAGGAGAAATATAGTAGTATATAGAGTAGTCCTTTAAGAAAAGGATTTAAAGTAGTAAAGTAAGTAATTTATAAAAGATCTTTTACCTATAAGTACTAGTAGTAATATATTAAGGACTAAAATACTAGACTAGTAATATAGTAATAAAAGAGCTAGTATTAGTAAGCTATTAAACTATAATACTCCTTTATAACTAGTATTACTATTATAAATATAAAGAAGGTATATAATAAGTAAGTTATAGAGGCTATATAAGTAAATATATAGTGCTAATAGGTAGTAGTAAAAAGAATAGCCTATAAGTAAAAAAAAGAGGTCTAGTAGTAATATAGTACTTTAAAGTATTAATAAGTAAATAGATAAATAAAGTAACTAACCTTTAAACAGTAGCTTATCTATACTAAAGAAGATTAACTATATATCTTATTTAACCTTTTAGATCTATAGTAGTATAACTTAAATAATACTATATATAAAGAAAAATTTATAATAGATCTTAATTTAACCTCTCTACTATAGTATATACTTAACTACTTTAAGTATATAGTAAGACCTCTTAGTTAAGGTAATATTAACTAAGCATTAGCTAATATAGCTATAGAGGCAGTAGGGCTATACTTTAACCCTAAGATCTTTATAGATATTAATAACCTTATTAACAAGGATGTTAATTTAGTTATATTAAGTAAAGAATTAGTTAGTATACCTAAGAGTAATAATAATAATAATAGTTATATATTATTACTATTACTACTAATAACACTAATAGCTAGCCTTTTAATATTATAAGGTCCTTTATAATATAAGTTATAATATTATACTCTAAAGGATAAGATAGATAGTTAAAAGGCAACAGGGGTTATACTATAAAATATCCTATATATACCCCTATTAATATAAAAAAAGGAGCAGTAATATATAGTAGATAATAATAAGAGTAATACCTATATTATAGTAGTAATATAAATTTATAGTTATTATAGAAAAAAGAAAAAAAAAGTACTACTATAAAGCCCTTAATTAGGGCTATTAATTAGTACTACTTTTGTTATTATACAATATTATAGTAGTTGTTGCTTTAAGAAATAAAAAGTTGACTATACTATATAACGCACATAAAAGTGAGGGTATTTGTGATGTGGGTGTAACCCCCCTTTTCTTACTGCAACCCCCCTTTTTTCGCCCCCTCCGTGAGGAGGGGGTATTTAGCTCACAGCGCTGACTAAGTTGCCCCCGGGTATTCCTTAAATTACAGAAATCATCTTAGTAAACTTTATTAACTGGGTGTTGAGAACAAAGGATTTAGGAGGTAAGCAAAGTGTAGAGACGGCGCTCTCTCTCCCTTCACCATGAACATTAATAAGCTACTACTGTCGTTTCTAATCGCTCTTATTTGTGCTCTTCGTTTACGCCCTCCATTGCGTGGCCACCTAATTTGCCTGTGGCGGGTCACTCTCTCGAATACCGAGCACTCACCATGAAGCTCACGGCCCAGAGCTGGGTCAGAGGCGCTGTCGCATTATGGGCGTCGGCCGCGCAAGCCCTCGACGCAGAGGGCTGGAAGCGTCAGTCCATCTACCAGGTCATGACGGACCGTTTCGCGCTTGCGGCTGTAAACGACGAGCCCTATCTGCCACGCAGTTGCAACGTCTCGGCACAGACCTACTGCGGCGGCACGTGGAAGGGCATCAAGAGCCAGCTTGACTACATCCAGGGCATGGGCTTCACGGCCATTTGGATCTCGCCAATCGTCGCCCAGGTTGAGGCTCCTGTTGCAGACGGTGGCATTGCCGTGGAGGCTTACCATGGCTACTGGACCCGGGACATCTACGCGCTGAACAGACGTTTCGGCACCAAGCAGGACCTGGAAGACCTCATTAAGGCCGTACACGCGCGAGGAATGTACTTTATGCTGGATGTCGTCCCGAACCACATGGGACCGCAGCCGGGCCAAGTAGAGATAATGCTGCCTGCGTTTTCTAACTCCACCAGGAACTCTACAAAGACCGCCACGGGAGGGGCTATGTACGCCCTGCATAAGTCGCTCAACTACTCCATCTACTCGCCGTTTGATTCGTCACGCTTCTTCCACCCATACTGCCGAATTGACTACACGGACACGACAAGCAAACAATTGTGCTGGGAGGGCTGGAGCAAGGAGACCGGCGCGGCCTTCACGTTGCCCGACCTCCGCACTGAGGACGACGACGTCCTGCGCATTTTCGTCAGCTGGATCCGCAACCTGGTGGCCGAGTACTCCATCGATGGCCTCCGCATCGACGCCGCCCGCCACGTCCAGCCCTCCTTCCTTACCGCTTTGCAGGCCGCCGCCGGCGTCTTCAGCATCGGCGAGTTCTCCGAAGGCGACGTGGCGCCGTACGTCGGCTTCCTGGACGCCATTGGCGGCGCCTTTAATTTCCCGCAGTACTACGCGCGTATTGACATGTTCCAGTCCGCCTTCACGGCCAACTCGACCACGGCCACGCCTGCCAACTTCGCCAGCCAGATGGCCGCCCTGCAGGCCGCGCTGCCGAACCGCACCGCCACGCTGGGCAGCTTCTACGACTCGCACGACGCGAAGCGCTTCGCCAGCGTGTCGGGAGACATGGCCAAGGGCAAGAACGCCATGGTGCTCGCCATGCTGGTTGACGGCATCCCGGTCGTCTACCAGGGCGCTGAGCAGCGGTTCTCAGCCGGCCAAAACCCGTACTATCGAGCCCCGTTGTTCAATTCGCCCCTACATGCGCAGTACCGCACCGACTCCGACATGTACAAGTTCATCAGGCAGCTAAATCGTTTCAGGTCTTGGGTAGTGGCGCACAAGCAGAACAGCACGCGTTCAAGCTTCATCCAAGACCAGGCGCACGTCATCTTCAACAACAGCCACAACCTCGCTTTCGCCAAGGGGGAAGTCATCGCAGTCACCACGAACCTGGGCCTGGCTAGCAATCCATACAACTTGACTCTCCCAGCTCCCAGCCTGTCAAACTCGATACCGAGCTCGGGCAGCATTGGGTTCCCCCCAATGACGGACTACATCGATATCGTCAGTTGCACCCAATTCAAGACTAACAAAGATGGCAAGCTGTCGTTCCAGCTCATCCGGGGCTACCCCAGGGTATTCTACCCAGCCGCCAAGCTTACGCACAGCGGCCTCTGCGGCACCGTCCTCGACGAGAAGACTGAGGCCGACACCCACGGCAAGGACACCTGCGTTGTCACCTTCGAGATGGATGTGGCGACCAGCTTTGGCGAAGTCGTCTACCTGCTGGGTGACGCGCCGCAGCTGGGCTCTGGGGACGTGCTGCAGGCGCTAGCGCTCGACAGCTCGCTCTACACAACAGGGCGCCCGCTGTGGACCGTCGCGGCCGAGCTGCCCCTCGGCTCCACGATCGCATACGGCCTGCTGAAGGTCAGCGCGAACTCGGGCGAGGAGCTGTCCCGCTGGATGCCGGGGAATAACACGGTCGTGGTCGACGCAGGTGCTTGCGGGAAGGCAGGAGGTAGGTTGGTGGCGAGGAGAAGCTGGAGAACAAACAGGACCATAATCACTAGTGGTGTAGGCATATAACAGATTAATTATATAGTAGAGTAATAGGTAACTAGATATAAAGGGAGTAATAAGGGAGAAATTTAACTCTTCCTAGATAACTTTTAAGTCTATATTATAATAGAATAAGTAATAAGTAATATTATTATATTTAACA